GCTGAAGCTGGATTTTTGTAACTGCTTTTTGCACACCACCATGGTTTGAACGGGTTGATGTTTCAGCTCACGTCTCTTTAACAACAGTGACCGACAGAGCGGGATTATAATCAGGAGAGAGCGTCGAATTCCAGCTTGGATTCCTGCAGGTGCGCTTGAGCTTCAGTGCAACGCTAATTCATAGCAACGTTTCGTTTTAAAGCGAGAAAACGTGAAAATAAATGCGTTGTATTGCGTCGCCATGGTGATGCTGTTTAAACTGTTGGGATAATCCGCGAACCTGCGCGGGCCTCGCCTGTGTTCCGAGCCAGGCCTGGCTAAGCTAGGCTATCAAGTTTGTCGTGATAGTACACAAATATCGAGACTAGCTAGGAATCATTTGCTAAAAATAAATCAGCGATACGTGTTTTGAATTAAGTGACGTGTCTTTTAAAAGTAGTTCAGTGTACTTTTTTTTTAATGAAATGTATTAAGTAGTGTGGCTAAGTTACACCTTAGTAGTAGCTTAGCACAAATGTTTTCCCCAACAACAGGAGGATGAAGAAGTGGTTGCTATTAATCTGTGTGAATATGCATTAAATGCTGTCCTTTGCAATATCATACGTTTTAATTGTTTTAAATTATTATCATTTGGGATTAAAATAGATTTTTTTTTTACTTTGTGTGTAAATAGCGTTATAACATGTTGTTTTTATGGTAAATTCAGTGTAAGCTTTAATCAAACAGTGTGTGCAATTCTTAGAACATGACTGAGAATTAATTAATGCATTACGTTTCTCAGATACACTATAAAAATCAGCTCTGATGTGAAGAGAGTACTTGGAAAAAGAATGTGCATGACATGTCTTAGTTTATTTTAACTATGCTGATTTCTAAAACTCACAGAGACACAACATTTACAGGATGGTGCATTGCATTAGATTAGTCTTTGTCAGGCATGTTTTTGGGTTGTTGCTTTTAGCTTGCTGTTTCAGTTTAAATGAATTACACAGCAGAGCTAACTGGAGTTACTTGAATCCTTTATACGGGATGGGGGATGGGGCTGTCATAAACTACAGGGAAATCATCACAATGTCACGTGATCACATAATGTTGTTTGCTGACCAGGGTGTGGGGGGACTATCTTAACAATATATATTTATCATATTTATTATTTCAGAGAGATATTAAATATTAAAGGTACCATTTCCATCAGTCTCAGATCAGCATACATTTCACTAAGCTAATTGCAAGGCTAGACAGGGGGCACGAATAACTCAAGCCGCCTAATATATTCAAAAATATGACGTTATGGAGAAGTTAGGCCAAAAATAGACGTCTTGTTTACCTACAGTTGCACTAAATGCATCAGGATTTTACTGGGTGTGTCATGGTTTCCACAAAAATATTAAGCAAATATAATATATTATTAATATAAATATTAAGCATATTAAGTTTTGTTTTACTTTATAATTGTAAAGACATTTTAAGAAAAGATTCATTACCTTTTAACTGTGTTTGCTTTATTTTTAATTTTTTTAAAGGGGTCATATGATGCTATTTTAAAGATCATTATTTTGTGTATTTGGTGTAA